AGATCCAAGCAAAATGAAACCTTTGACAACTTCAGTCTTTTCTACGTTTATCATGATGTTATTTACTGGTCACATTTATCATGATGCTAGTTACTGGTCTGATTGTGAGGATTTTCATGTTCTTTGAATTGAGGTGCAATCCATACTAAAGGCTGTAGCATTTGATCTTTATTGGTAAGTATTTCAAGTTGTCTTAGTTTCTAGCAAGCAAGATTATCTGCATAATGCAGGTTGTTAATGAGCCTTCCTCCAATCCTAATGCCACACTTTTCTTCATATAATTCAGTTTCTAGGATTATTTGCTCAGTCAGACTGAATAAGTATGGTGATTTTAAGGTATCCCCTTCAGTTCTTTCCTGATTTTAAACTATATAGTGTCCCCTTGTTTTGTAACAACTGATTCTTGGTATATGTACAAGTTCCTCATGAGTACAATGAAATGTTCTGAAATACCCAGTCTTTGCAATGCTATCTATAATTTGTTATGATCCACCTAGTCAAATGTCTTTGCATAGTCAATAAAGCACAAATAAAAGTCCTGGTATGGCGCTGTAGAAGAAGCACTGGACTGCAAGGTTGGCTTGAATTACAAGGTGGGCATTTTAAACTCATTAGTGACTCCTCGGAAATCCTAAATAGGTTCACTATGAATTGGAACTGACTAGATGGCACTTTAACAACAACAGCAACAAACATCTCTCTGATATCCTCTGCTTTCAGCCAAGACCCATCTGATGTCAGCAATGATAGCTCTAGCTCTACATCCTCTCTTGAAAAGAGCTTGGATTTCTGGTAGCTCCCTGTTGAAGTATCTTCAGCAAAATTTTATTGCATGTGATATTAATGGTATTGTTGAATATTTTCCACATTCCATTGGGTCATCATTCTTTGGAATGGGTACAAATATAGATCTCTTCTAATTGGTTGACCAGATAGCTATCTTCCAAATCTCTTGGTGTAGACGAGTAAACACTTCCAGTGCAACATCAGTTTGTTGAAATTTTCCATTTTTATTCCTTTGATTCCTGGAATCTTGGTTTTTACAATGCCTTCAGTGTAGCTTGGACTTTTCCCTTCAATACCATCAGTTCTTGATCATATGGTACCTCTTGAAACTATTGAACCCCAGCCAATTCTTTCTGGTACCACAACTCTGTGTATTCCTTCCATCTTTTTTTGGTGCTTCCTGTGTCATTCAATATTTTGCCCATATAGTCCATTAATATTGCCAATTGAGTCTTGAATTTTTTCTTCAGTTTTTTTCAGCTTGAGAAATACAATACTACTCAATAATAAAAAGGGAATAACTACTAAACCATGTAAAAACATGAATTAATATTAAACACATTCTGAACGATACCTTGTACATATAAATGCTTACTGCATTATTCCTTAATAATGATGTTTATGAAAAAAAATTTGAAGGTGAAAAAGATCAGAACAATGAGGGTGGCTCTGGGCAAGGTAGTATTGGGAACTAGCTGAGAATGGGCATGAGGGAACTCTTTGTGATGATGGAAATATTCTATAACTTGATAGGATTTGGGGATACATGGGTATACACATTTATTAAAATTAATTGGATGATGGACTTTAGATTTGTGAATTCTACTATAAGAAACTCTAAGCCCCCAAAATAGACATCTTTCACTAAATGTACAATTCAAAACCTGACTAGAAGCTGCCTCCTCCTGTAAAGTCTCCTCAGGGCTCCAGATGTAATTTTCCCAAAGTGCCCCTGAGTCATGTTCTTGAACACTTGACTTAGAAGTCGTGCCCACAGCTGCTGGCTTCTTAATACTATGGGCAGAGGGTGTTCTTAAATGGCTCTTATCTTTCCAGCTGCTCTTTTCAAGAATTGTAAGCATTTTGAAATTTAAGCAAGACATGGACATTTTCCCCCTGATGTCCTTCTGAGGCCCAAGAATGGAAAGTTTTAGCAGGAACAAAAGAAGGAGGAAATTGCGTCTTTCTGGAGTGCTTTTAGCTTAATTGGATCTTGGGGATGTTGTCCCAGAAGTATAAAAAGTTTCCTGACTTTGTCTGATTCTGTTTCCAAACTTTTAATCACTTTAGGGAACACTCTAGTCCCAACTGCAGTGCTGATTTCAAAATGCCTTCTACATGAAGTGGCTGTTCTTTTGGAAGTTTTGTCTGAAACTCAGAACCAAGACAGAGTGGAGAGAACTGATTTTCATTCCTTCTGCAAATCAAAGTGAACATCTCAGCTTGGGCACTTTGGGTTTGTGTTGTTATTTCTGGCACATGTACTATTTCTAGTCTGTAGGGATTTTTTTCTTATTAGGTTCTTAATAAAGGTAAGTAAAGGTTCTTATACAAGTAATATCAACCTTTTAGCAGAGGAACATTTCTAGATTCTGACTTGATAGTTCAAAGTGGTTGGGTTTAAAAAAGGAAAAAATGGCAAAATTTCAGTAGTATCACAAAATTTGAGGACCACACAGAACCCCTTCTTCCTGGATCAGAAAAATCAGAATGACAAGAAATAACTTCACAGACACCCCCAGAGATGATATGATCTTATGCTTTCAGCTCCACTTACATCACAACTCCAGGGGCACCATTGCTATAGCCATAGAGATGGCGCGAGTTGTCCTGGAGTTACGTTCCAGACAGTGCCATTTAGACAATGAAATGTGTGAAAACTGGAACTCAATGGGAAGGCCTTCTGTTTCCAAGTCTCAGAAGTTTCTCCCCTCTGACAGGTTGTAGTTTTACCGTATTTCTATCCCTTGTTTTACTGGGAAAGATTTGAATTTCCCTTCTCTGACAGATTCTGGCATTCACAGGCTTTGTGTATGGCCTGTATGGCCTGCCATTAAATGGAATTCCTTAAAGCTCACAGTAGCCTGGTCTATAATGGGTCCCAGGGGATGAGCCTCCCAGACTTTCTGAGCGCTTCTTCCCTACTTCATTAAGAGCAGTTGATTTCTTCCAATTCCAGGACGGAGTAGAGTAATCTGAGGCTTTGAAATGGAGAAGTTTACACAACAGTTTGAAAGGTTAATCAGAACATAGCCCAAATCTCTGGGTTAATAGACCTGATAACTTTCCATAAACTCAATGTACTTCTAGAAAGAGATTAAACTACCATATATGAATGACAGGCAGAAGATTATCTGCTTTATTCAATATGAAAGATTTTCTGCAGATGTGGAACAGACTGTTTGGGAATGTAGTGAGCCTCTTCATCACTGGAAAGGATCAAGCTGAAACGGAAAAGTCATGTATCAGTGCTGTGCAGAAGAGGATCTAGAATGAGGGAGGGTTTGGCTAGATCATCTAGGGAACATAATCAGTTTCAGGGTATCAGTCTGGATGATGTATCTAGCAATTGAGTCAAAAGGCTCAAGAATTGTTTAGTGTCTGCTGATTTCAGAGCGAACACTCACCAGAGAGAAGGTGACCCAGGAGAACAATAACAAATAAGCGCTCCTGTAGTTAGCTAGAAAACTAGATTTTCGGAAGCTGGGATCCACTGCAGTAGGTTTCTGAGGTCAGCCTGTCTGTCTATCTTCATGGAGTATCCAATTCAGATTATTTGGGATGATAGCAGCATTTCCGGAGTAGAAATTTATGTTGCAAACCTAACACCCTCCACACACATCTTCTCATCTGTTCATGTCCAGTCTCCTTTTGTACTTAGATGACCAGCTGGATTCACTATTGCCAAGGGAGTCTTTTGTGGCCCCTCTTCTCATCAGGGAGTCCTGGTGTGGTGCTGCGGGTTAATGCACCAGACTGCAAAGTCATTTGAACTGTAAGGTCGGTGGTTCAAGCTCATTAGCTGCTCCTTGGAAACCCTATACAGGGTTGCTATGGGTCGGAACCGACTCGACGGCATTTAACAATAACAACAACTTCTCATCAGTGTCCAGAGTGTCATTTCTGATGCTCTGGCTTATCCTTGACCCTTTTGCTTCTCCTCCCGGACAAGCGGTGAGTCCCCTTAAGCTAGGGTCATGACTCACCCTGATCCTTATAGGAAATGTTATAACCCCAAACTGATTGATCAACAGATACTTTGGTGGATGGATATTCGGATGACTGGGTGGCTGGATAGATGAAAGCCCTGGAGATGCTCCTGAGAAAGGAGAGCTTGTGCACATCTGGAGTATGTTTTCTGTGAGAGTGATTTGGAGAGAAGAAATAGTTATAAGATGAAGATTCACAACTAATCATTTCACATCACAAAGTGGGGAGAACAGGAAATAAACGTAATGTCACTTTTATGACCAAAATTTAATGAGATAAATTGTCACAAAGTGGGGAGAACAGGAAACAAACTTAGTGTCACTTTTATGATCAAAATTTAATGAGATAAATTGTCACAAAGTGGGGAGAACAGGAAACAAACTTAGTGTCACTTTTATGATAAAAATTTAATGAGATAAATTGCCAAATTGGATATGTTATTGTTGGAAAGTGCTGTTGAGTCAATTCTCATAGTGACCCTATATAGGGTTTCTGAGAAGCAGCTGGTGAGTTTGAACAAGTCCAGTGCTTATTCTACAATGTCACATCAGGACTTCAAATAGGATATGTTATTGTTAAGTGACATTGTTGTTAAGTGACATCTAACTCATAGCATCCCTGTGTAGGGTTTCTGAGGAGCAGCTGGTGAGTTTGAAGCATCGACCTTGAGATTCAAACCAATTTAGTGGTCCAGTGCATTATCCTGCAGCACCACATCACTAAAACAGATATGCAATGTGTGTTGTCTCTGATCAAATGCATTATGTAATGAGAGGCATTATTCTAAACCTTATAAATTTGGTGCCCTGTGTCCTCAAAGTAATTTATAAAGTATTGCTCTCTCTCTTTTTTTTTTTTTTTCTTGGAAAGAAATAGAGACTGTGAACTTTTAGAATTGTTTCCTAGATACACAGCCAGATGGGAATTCCAGAATAGATGCACTGGCCTTATGCAAGGCAAAGAAAGAACCTCTGAATATTTTCAGTGGACTGAGGAGACACACCATGGAAAGTGCTAATGAGACTTCATCTGTGATAGAGTTTGTTCTCTTGGGACTCTCAGCTCATCCAAAGCTGGAGAAAATGTTCTTTGTACTCATCCTCTTCATGTATTTGGTGATTCTGCTGGGCAATGGGGTTCTCATCCTGGTGACTGTGTCTGTCTCCCGCCTGCATACACCCATGTACTTCTTCCTAGGGAACCTCTCCTTCCTGGACATCTGCTACACAACATCTTCAGTCCCCCTCATTCTTGACAGCTTCCTGACTCCCAGGAAAACCATCCCCTTCTTAGCCTGTGCTGTGCAAATGTTTCTGTCCTTCGCCATGGGAGCCACTGAGTGTATGCTTCTGGGCATGATGGCATTTGATCGCTATGTGGCCATCTGTAACCTCCTTAGATACCCTGTGATCATGAGCAAGGCTGCCTACATGTCCATGGCTGCCAGTTGCTGGGCAGCTGGAAGCACTGCCTCCATGGTTCAAACCTCATTGGCAATGAGGTTGCCTTTCTGTGGGAACAACATCATCAACCACTTTACTTGTGAGATTCTGGCTGTTTTGAAGTTGGCCTGTGCTGATATTTCTATTAATGTGATCAGCATGGGAGTGACAAATGTGATCTTCCTGGGGGTCCCAGTACTGTTCATCTTTGTCTCCTATATCTTCATACTCACCACCATCCTGAGGATCCCCTCAGCAGAAGGGAGGAAAAAGGCCTTCTCCACCTGCTCTGCCCACCTCACAGTCGTGATTGTCTTCTATGGCACCATTCTCTTCATGTACGGGAAGCCCAAGTCTAAGGATCCACTGGGGGCAGACAAACAGGACCTTTCAGACAAGCTCATCTCTCTTTTTTATGGGGTTGTAACCCCCATGCTCAACCCCATCATCTACAGCCTGAGGAACAAGGATGTACAGGCTGCTGTGAGAAATCTGGTATTTCAGAAATGCTTCACTCAGTAATTGAGGGAGAGCAGATCTCCTTGTGGTTCTGTGCTGCTTAGCTGCTTTCACTCAAGAATCTCAGAAGAAAGTATTCTCATAAGAAGGTACTACGTATGAAGGATGATTGCCAGGAAATCACATTACAATGTAATGGAAACTTTTAGATGTTACTAGACTCAGCTTCTAAAGTGCTGAAAAATAAAGTTGGGAATGAGTGTGGCTTGAGGAGATGAAGTGGACTTCTGCTGAAAAACATATGAGGGGTTTTCAAATTCTCCACAGTGAAGTTTGAATTTGGTTTTGATTCTTTGTTATAAGAAAAATGATTTATATTATATAAAGGTAGAACCAAGATCCTATTCTGGAAAGAAGACAGTATGGGGCAAATTTTCATGTCATATAAGTATAAAAAGTTATCTTCACTGTAGATAAAATAAGACACATCAATTTTTATTTATTGAAAACAGGACTGAGGTTGGAGATGAGAATAAGGTGGCCTTTTTCCTTTTGTTATGAGTCATAGGAATTGGGATCATAGATTCCACATAAGGCATTTTTTTAAGGGCAAGTAAGCCAGGCCCTGCAAACACCCATGTGGAGAATCTTGGCCTGGTAGCAATCATAACTGGTATTCACTTTTAAGTTTTGTTTTTCTTTCCTCACTAAGTCTTGTTTAAATTTATGGTCTGACCTTAAGGTCTGGAGTGTGGTGAGATGGACCCGTGGGAGAAGAGACTAGCAGAGGCACCACAGCAGTCTAAAGGAAACTGGAGTCAGGTGGTGAAATGTGGTCACAGAAGGCAGACACCATGGTCTGGGTCAAGATGGCTGGCTGGGGGGAACTGGAATGGTAAACCTGAAATACTGAGCCACTTCACAGTGTAGCTGAGAGAGAAGATTTAGAGATCAAACAAGTGAGGGACCTAGTCAGTAGAGACATAGAAAGGGACAAGGATATTGAGTTCATACATATGTTGTTGTTAAGTACCATCAGTTCTGACTCATAGTGACCCTGTATAGGATTTCCAAGGAATGGCTGGTGAATTTGAATCACCGATCTTGTCGTTCAAATTGATCTTGCAGTTCAGTGCTTTATCCCACAGTGCCACATCAGGACTCTTTCATACATATGTTGTTGTTGTTGAGTGCCTTCAAGTCGATTCTGACTCATAGCAACCCTGTATAGGGTTTCCAAGGAGCAGCTCTTGAGCTTGAACCACCAACCTTGCAGTTCAAACTGATACTGCAGTCCGGCCATTAACCTACAGTGCCACACCAGGACTCCTTCATACATATAGTCAATCCAAATGACTTAACCTCATTGGTCTAATATCTATATTGCTTTTCTCCTATGCTAACAATGTTTGTTCTCAGTTCCACCACTGTAACTGCTCACACAACTACGTACTGAAAACAATGGCTGAAAATGGTTTATAGACTCTGTTGTCTTTAGAATACATCTCCCTAGGGATGCACATCAAATTACTGGCTTAAAAATTGCTCGGATAAAGTCCTCTCTTATGGTTATGCCACAAATTCATTCAAGTTGTTGGTAGAATTCAGTTCTTTGTGGTTGTCACACTATGAATTCAGTGTCCTTGCCAGGGGTTGCTCTCAACTTCTTGCGGCAGTTCTCTGGCCTTATCCCATGGATTCATCCATTTTTAAATCTGGAAACAGCACATCAAATCCTTCTTGTGCTTTAAATAAGACTTTTCCTCCTGCTACTATCCAGATGTTTTAAAAATCTCTGCTTTAAAAAGACTCTGATACAGTCATGTGTACCAGGATAATAGTCTTATCTTTAGATCAACTGACTTAGAACTTAAAATGTCATCAAAATTCCTTCACAATAGTACCTACATTAGTGTTTGACTTTAATCACCAGAGTACATGAATTGTGGGGGGAAAAGGGGCATCTTACTTCCACTGTGTGATTTCTACCAAAGTCAGAATAGTGGACATCTGTGATTGAGAAGAAATAAGAGGGAACATAAATGGGGAGGGTAACATGAGAGATTACTAAGATAATGAATCCTTCGACTTCTTAGCCAGGGTTTTGAGTACCCGATGTGTAGCTTATTATTTTTCCTTAAATGTTACATATATTCTTTTTATACTTTTCTATATAAGGAGCTCTGGTAGCGTAGTGGTTACGAAGTGGGCTGTGAACTGCAAGGTCAGCAGTTCGAAACTACCAGCTGCTCCATGGGAGGAAAGGTGAGGCTTTCTACTCCCATAAAGATTTACAGCCTCGGAAACCCTGTACAGGGTCACTATGAGTTGAAACCGACTCCACGGCACATAACCACCACCATATGTATAATATGAAGTCCAGGTGTAGCACTGTGGGTTAATGCGCCAGACTGCAAAGCCATTTGAACTACAAGGTCAGTGGTTCAAGCTCCTTGGAAACTCTACACAGGGTCGCTATGGGTGGAAACCAACTCACCGGCACTTAACATAACATATGGATTGTGAGACGGACTGTTAACCAAATACAAAATGTCAGTAGTTTGAATCTACCAAGTGATTCACAGGAGAAAGATGAGGCTTTCTGCTCTTGTAAAACTTTGTTGTTGTTGTTAAGTGCCGTTGAGTCAATTCTGACACAGAAACCCTATACAGGTCGTTATGAGTCAAAACTGACTTGGTGGCACACAACCACCACCACCATATGTATAATACATGTAATATAATACATGTTTCACAGAAAGAAAAATGTAAGGCAAAGCAT